CATGCACGCATGTCTGTGCATTCACCTACACACGCACACTCATGTCTGTCTGTGTATATACATATGTATGTGTGTGAGAGAGAGAGAGAGAGAGAGAGAGAGAGAGAGGGAAAGTAGAGGGGAAAGGGAGAGAGAGAGAGAGAGAAAGAGAGAGGCAGGCATCTCCCACTGGTCTAAATGCTTCTTTGCCCTCTTGTAAAGATGTTCCCTTGTTAGTTGTCTATTTTTACTGTCTTTTAATACCACACAGCCATGAAAAGTGCAGACAAGGTAATTTTCCACATCCCAAAACACCTACATTTTAGAAGACAAAGAACTTGCCAGGGGTGGCAGACCAGTAAGAAGTTAGCTTGTCTGATGTGATATTCAAATTTGTGTCTCCAATGTCAGGCCAATAGGCCAAAGGGTTGTTTTTTTTTTCCTTCCACAGTTCTTTTCAAGCTAAGGAAAGCTTCTGAAGGCGACGTGTATAAAACTAGTGAAAAGAAAAAAGTCCAAAGTTAGTGAGGCTTAGCCATTTTGCCATATAAATGTTTCTGTGAATTCAGTTCACAGTTAATTTAGTATTTTAAATCTAGTTATGCTTACATTAATTAGGTTTAATTTGTATAGTATCAATTAATTCATGTAATTGTATCTTCTTTAGTTTTTATTTATTTTCATAAATGAATAAAAAACATGTAGTTTTTGTTTTGGAAGGATGACTTTGCTGGGGTAGACAGGATAGACACCAGTTTATTTCTCTTTGTTACATAATCAGTAAGAGACCATGTAGATGAGTATGGACTAGGTGAACTTGAAATAAAGTGTGTGTGTGTGTGTGTGTATATAGTTTTTATTGATCTAAACTATGTGATGCTAAAGCCATATTCTGATATCCAGCAACATACACCATAAACATTTATTATAAACTTTGAAGTATTGTAGAGTAAGCAGCCAGGAATTAAGAACAATTTCAGGCCAGACAAAATCCACAAGTCTCTCTTTTTTAAACACAATCATCAAATGTGTGCACAAAAATGTATTTTGCGGATTTATTACACCTGAATTTGGAATGATTTTTAATATGCTGCTTCATGCAGCCTAACTTGCAAAATCAGTTCACCTTTTATAATATGAGGTCTTCGAGAGACAGTGAAAGACACAGCAAAGAGCAAAAATGGATAGCAACATATGAGGCTGAAAGGAGATATATGGTGGGAAGATGCAAGGTCCATTCACATTTGATATACATATATTAATGACCAGCAAGAGAGAAGAAACCACAGATGACAACAAGGCTCTGGTTGTGCCCATCTCTGTACAGGTAGCCAAGTGAAAGAAAAGTGTTTGAGAGGAACAAGCTGAAGAACTTTTACTTACCTGTCTGCCAAAGGTGAGTAAGAAAGCTAAGCAGAGAGTGAAATAAGCCTGAGAAAAGTCGTATGAACCCAAAAGCTGGCAAAGAAAGAATTTTTTTTGCAATTTCTTAGTTGGTCCACTAAAAGGTATCAGGTCTGAACCAAGTATTTTACAGTTTTGCGTTTCTTTTTGTCTCAGACCAACACAGCTACACATCGACTATGCATAAGGGCAGCATGGGGGGACACTTGCCCCCGCCTGAGATTGGCCACTGCTGGCTTCTGCAGTTGCCGCTTGCCACTCGCCCCTCCCCTCTTCACCGCTGATGCGACCAGTGGCATCTGTGGGCAGTCCCTGCTCACTCCCCTCTCCCCTCCCGGCAGCAGCTGTAGGTGGCTCCTGCTTGCCCCCTGCAGTCCCCACTCACTACTGACCACCATGGTGCCTCCCCAGTCTCAGGAGTCTTAGGGCTGCCCTGTCTCATATAGCTACCAGTGCCTTTCCAGTGTTTGCCAAGGAGCAATAGAGAAAAAAGGAGCACTAGCCACACTCCCTCAGAAGTTGGGCACAAGAGGCAGTACAGCTGCCACAACAGCAGCCTCATCCCACCACAGAATTGTCCTGCTTTAGAGAAATCTTCCACTCAAAGTTAGGAGCAAAACCAGGGCATACTTTCGATGGGCAGGAGAACCAAAAAAAAATGTTTGCTGAGAGTTAGATTTGCAGACTGCGGTAAAGCACCCTGCCACCATTTTTAAGTGTGGGGATGCTGATACATGAGACGCAGGAGGCTGCTGGAGGACGGTAATTACCACGCTCCAGCAGACTCAATTAATTGAGTAATTACAGTGCATAGGAGCAGACTCCCCACTTGTATACAGGCACCCTGAGAACCAGATCTTAGTCCACTTACAAGGCATGTAAGGGAATTTAGAAGCCTAACTGATTCTATTCTACCCTGCTCAAATCTATGAAAAACAGTAAGCACACAAGGTTAATTTTTGGTCCTCCTGCTTCCTGCTTTTTGTGATTTACACTAAAGCTAAGGTGGTGGCATGTTACAGAAACAAATGCATTAACATGTTTTCAGGCACTCAAGCAAAGTGGAGTAGGATCACACTTAGGCACCTACCAGTAAGTCTACCTAGGTACCCAATAGGTAGAATAGGATCTAACTGTTCGATGGAGGAAATGCCTTATTTTACGTGCGTTTCCAGTGTTTCATGCAATGGATCCTCACACTCTCTTGGGATTGCTAGGTGCTAAGCTAATGCAATACATAATGATAAAAAAATAACAATATTGGGATAATCTGGAGTCCATATGAGTGAGAAGTACTCAGCATAAAATTTTATAGCAAAGTTTCTACCCCTGTGTTTAGCTACTGTGAATTGTGTTGGAGAGTTTCTGGAAAATGCCTCCATTTTTAAATAGTTACATTATTCTTTTCTTTCATATCATTCCTTGAGCTCTTTATTCAAATAAATTGCTAATATGGGGAAATACAAAGGGATATTATATAGAAAATCCAAATGAATCCTTAAATACACCAAAAGGAGTGTTTAGGGAGATGTCCATCATATGGGCAGCATTGGATAGGAGCCCTTAAGCAGAGATCTATTCTGACTTGTTCAAAGAAAAGTCATAAGGCTTTGGATATACACAAGCAAAATCTCCAAATGTTTAGAAAAATCCATTTAATATGGCAGTGTACTGGAGCTTGTAAACTCCATTTTAATACTAACAAAGAGCTTCAATGTTCCCACAAAATGAATTCAAACATTAATCCGTTTATTAATTATAGTGCAGTGTCACTTCCTTTGTAGTTAAGGTTTGGAAACCATTTTTGCTTAAAAGTTGACTGTCTAAGTGTTCCAAAATCTACAAGCTTGCTCACGTTGCCCTGACATTGTCTGATTTACAGTTCTGAAGAGTAGGGTTAGTGTGTGCTACATACGGTTATTTGAGCCACAGATCTCAAGATATAGCCCCCACCTGCCCCAAAAAATCCAACTTTTCTAAAAGTTGACAGATTCTACATTGTTTCTACCTGTGGACCAGATACCTGGCTCTGAATAATGACCTTAATACTCACCTTTTACCCTAGTTGATATTTGGAGTGAAGGAAGGGGAACAAAGTCAGGTGGGTTCAGGTCAGAAAGAAGTGGTGGGAGGAACACTGGGAAGACTGACATTGAAGGAGGTAGAAAGCAGGAATTAGTCCCAGATTCTTCTCTTCTTTGTGTCTAGGAGCCCCAGAATAATGCAAATTTAAATCTCTGAAAACCAGGAAAGACCCATGCATGGGACTGGGGAGCCTGTAGGAGGACAGTAGTGACTGGGATAATTTGAAATATGGTGCGGCAAGTCCTGGCCAAAGCAGGGGTAGGGAAACAAGCTAGATGGATGGCATAGTTGGGTCGCTGGTTAGATTGACTGTACAGCTCTGGCAACATAATCTAAGAATTGTATGACCCTCTCTTGTAAGTGATGTTAATTTAATAGGACAGGAGGAAGGAAAACTAGAGATGCAGAAGCCAGTTATATATTGTGAGGGATTTTAGGAAAGAGGTATGGAGAAGGAGAAAGAGACAGCAGTCTTATCTGACATGCTTAAAATCCGTGTAACCAAAAAAAATTCTGTAACCAACATGGGATATAATTGTCAAGCTTTTAGGACACAGACCCTATCTATGGTTTCTCTGTTAGCAAAAGCACACACTAAATATTTCAAAGTGTGACAATAATCCCCATTCCCTTATACTAAATTGGCCCTTTAGAAGAGTATTTATGAATTGCATAGCACCCTTTACTTTTAGTTGGTCACAGCAGTATGTCAATTGCAAACCTATATGAAAAGGGCAACTGTGTAATAGATCTCTTAGGCCCCTGACATACATTACACTTAAGATGCAATTAACAGGTTAATCACACCCTAAACAGTAACCTGGCCACATGTGCAAGTCAATTTAAGACATGACAAGAGAGTGAACAAACCACAAAGCTATTCCACATATAACGTGGAATAACTTTGTGGATCATTTGTATCATACCTTAAATTGAATGTGTAGCCACCATCAGCTGCAGCCAGATCCCAGGGTCTCTGTGCTTAGGGATGAGTAAAATCCCTGTCTGTTGCCCAGCTGGGTTGCACACAGTGTTTATGCAGTTCTTGGCGTGCAGGAAGCCCAGCATAGGGGTGCTGCAAACCAATGTCAGGCTCCCAGTGCACGACATGTACTACCCAGTTGAACAACACATGGGTTTTGAACATATCTTGGTGTGTGGGAACCCAGTACCAGACTGCCACAGCATGATGCTGGGTTCCCACTGCACCAGAAGCTTAGCTGAGTTGCACATAGCTTTATATTCATCCCTCGACCTCTTAGACCCCAGGATCAGACTGCGATAGCCTGATCTCAGGGTCCCTATGCCCCTGTGCCCCCTGTCCTGTCCCCACCTCCACGCTCCGCCCCCCCCCGGGTTGGATTTTTGACAATTAGCTGATTGCTGGCTGGGGCCAGTTTGGTTCCCTGCCCCAAATGACAATCACCTAATTGTCAGTACTCCATTTCATCCTGCTCATGCAGGGGGATCCCAGGTTCCTGATCCCAGGTTCTCCCTGCACCAGCTACTAAGAAATATTAGGATCTAATCCCCAATTCCAAAATTCCACATCCTGCCATGTATTTGTGGTGTGGCAGAAGGAGTGATTGTTGGGACTGAAGATCAGATCCCATCACATATTAAAGTGAATGTCTATCAGGGGCTCCAGTCTTACCCCACTCACTGCTTACTTCTTGCCTTTGTTTCTAGCCCTACAAAATTTCAGGCACATTTTTTGCTCATAATTACTTAAGCCCCTAAATTACATGACTTTGATATCAGAGTCCATAAAGGGGTAGCTTCTGAAAAATGAATCTTAATGCTACAAACCCAATGCAGAAACTGTTCAGTTCTTAAGGAATCCAAGGAATAATTGATTTCTGAAATGCTTCTTCTTGTTAGAATGTTACAAATTAAACTTGTGGAACAACCACTATCTGTTACCATGGTATATCAGCTAGAATGAAAGCCAGGATCATTTTTGGTAACTAGTATATTTGTCAAAAATATGTTTTCAATCATCCCAAA